TTTCTTTCCACATTTTGAATAAATGTTTTGGTATTTTTTCACTCTTGGTATTTTTTCAGAATAACATTTTTATTTTTGAGAAATGCATGTTACTGTGAATGACCGAAATCGGTAGTTTTACACTTATTCGATATTTTAATACTTACTGACGATAGATTAGAAGAAACATCAGTGTAGGGTATACTGGGCAAATGTATACCGAGTAGTGGCACTTGAACTTAAAAAAACATCAGTGTAGGGTATACCGGGCAATGGCACTTAACTAGAACTAGTAAGACTGGACCTTTGGTAAATGTCCGAAATATATACTAGGTCTAGTTAAGTGCCATTGCCCGGTATACCCTACACTGATGTTTTTTTTATGGATTAGTGCAACTGCCCGGTATACCCTACACTGATGTTTTTTTAAGATCAGGTGCCATTGCCCGGTATACCCTACACTGGTGTTTTTTTTAAGGTTAAGGATCATTGCCCGGTTTACATTTGCCCGATACTCCAAACACTAATGTTTCTTCTAATCTATCGTCAGTAAGTATTAAAATAACGAATAAATGTAATTATATCCACGAATAAATGAATACAATATCGGATGTAATAAATATTTCGGATATTCACCAAAGCGACTATGTGATTATCAACATTCACCGGTGAAAGTCAACAATCACCTATTTCGCTCATTCACAATAACATGCACATCATTTACATAATAACCTCATCAGGACGTTTATTTCATACTTTGCCTAAATAGCATCCAGCATTGTATAGAATGCCTAGGTATTCTATACAATGCCTAGGCTAAGTATGTAATACTTCACTCATTTCATACTTCGCCTAAAAACATCAGGCATTCTATACAATGCCTAGTCATTCTATACAATGCCTGCGTTTGATACTTTGCCGGTAACATATATATTAAAATAAATATTTCTTAAATGATTATATAAAACTTACTTTAGTTACAGAATCATTAACATTCATTGCAGGTACTGTCAACTTCCCAGATTTTGATAACTGATAGAGACGATGTACACCAGTAACACTTTCTTCAACAATACCTTTAATTCCACGGAACATGGCTGGGTATTTTTTTAACATTAAGTGTGTGGCGTCACCTCCATCGTCTAAAATCTACATACAACAATCGAAACATTAATAAATATTCGAAAATAGAAATGATGTCACATATTCTCCAAATAAAATTAATAACAAAATAAGAAAAGATTTATAAATATTTTTCGCTAGTAAAATCCAAATTTGAAATACATGTATAGCTAATTTTCAAATTCAGAATAAAGAAAACTTTTGAAATTAAAGTTCAACTGTATGATTGATAACAATTTATGATATAGTATTCAAGTTAGAAAAAGGCCAGGATAGCCTGGTTAATAGGGCGTTGGGGCAAATGTCCGAGAGATTGGGAGTTTGATCTCTGCCAGCTGAAGAAATGGGGAGTGCACAAAATAGTGGCTGCTGCACGATAAATCTGTCAGGGTCATCAAGTCCTCCAAGTTGCCATAACAAATAAATACCTCTGGGGTTATTGATCGGTGATCTGGTTCAGATCAAAATTACGATGTGTGAATCGATGGATGATATGTGAATATGCCCTGGGTATATGAAATTCGACGTGATGTACGTATGTTGTTTTTGGATCATCCTCAGGGTTGTTTCCCAGACAGTCACCAATAGCTCATTGTGTATCTCTAGTGCGACGTAAATAAAAGTATCGTACTGTAAAAGTTAGAAAAAGTGAACTTGCAAAAGTGTACGTTTTTTTGCACATATTGCTATATGTAAACATTTTTCTCTGAGCATAATCATTAGACATCATAAAAATATCCAACCAAAACTTATAAAATTCTGCTGAAGAAACAGTGTTGTTTTCATAAAAAATAAGTAAATAAATAAATTTGAGATTTAAAAATATTTAACAGTACAACTGTATTATAACTAGTCTTTTAATAAAGCAATTTTCCCCAACATTAATAAGTTCACTAGAACTACATTTGTTAATATGTTTTCNATAAAAATATCCAACCAAAACTTATAAAATTCTGTTGAAGAAACAGTGTTGTTTTCATAAAAAAAAGTAAATAAATAAATTTAAGATTTAAAAATATTTAACAGTACAACTGTATTATAACTAGTCTTTTAATAAAGCAATTTTCCCCGACATTAATAAGTTCACTAGAACTACACTTGTTAATATGTTTTCCATCAAAGCTTTAAAATCAAGTTAAATTATTAAATTGTATTAGTGTACTTGGACATTAACAACATATACCAAAATCTGATAATCAATAACTTTTTAATCAATATTTCACAACTCTTGAATACACACCGGCTGTCCCAATCATTAAGATACAAAAAAAATTTCATGTATGAAAAATTTTATTTTATTTAAGAAATAAACTGGTACGTATAGGCACCATTCACTAAATCAATGAACAAACCATTTAGTTGAATGCTTGTTCTTTTTATGAAATTTTTTAAAATTTATTTTTTATTTACTGAATTGCAACTTTAATCAATCATAAAAATGTATGATAAATCTAAAAAGAAATAATTATACAGACAATTTTCAAAAAATTTCATCCATCAATAACCGTTTGAAGTTAATAAGCTAGAGCAGTTTGAAAATTTCTCAGCAGAAACCGTTTACTCTAATTGAATTACCAATATTTCATAGATGTTTTCGAACCCTTGACAATAGCAGAAAAATAAAATTTGTGAAAAATATTTGTCACAGTGTTAATAAAAAAAAAATTAATTCAAAAGTGTGTTTGTGCACCTTTGGTCGAAAACGAGTTAAAGCATAAATTTATCAACCACTCTAATTTTTTGTAAAGTTCTGCAGAACATTTCTAAAAGAGGAATGTATAACAAATGAAGTTATTAAAAAATATAGTAAATTTTTTCCATGCAAAATTAAAAGAGATGTCATATTACCATATTTGGCTGCCAATTATCAGCATATATGCACTTATCTATGCACCACCAGAAGTCCTCTTCACTCTCTCCTCTCCATGCATATACTGGAACACCTATACAACATCAGATTACACAGTTTAGTTAGGTGCTAGTTAAAACAATCCTTTTAATTGTAGTGAGTATTGAAACATTTATGAATATTATAGATAGGGTTCCAATCAGCAATAAAAATTTACTGGTTCAATAAGACCATCAAGGTATACATTTAGTGGCCCAAAAACTTAATAATAGATTTTTTCTCAAGTGTGTCAATAATAACTTTACAATTACAGAATTACTGTTATGGTACACATCAAAAATTATTAATTGCTACCTATAACAACTTAAAACCAATTAAGTTCATTACTCCATAATAACTGAAGATTGGTTTTCATTAAAATTAAGTGAAAGAAAGCTAAAATGATATTAGTAAATACATTCAACATAGAGATTAAAATGAGGGAACCAAATAAATAAGTCAGGAAAACAGAGAAAATAAAAATCTAATAATTATAAATATTTAAACAAATTCAATTCTGAAAGAGCGCAAAATATTTTGTCAGTATATATGAATTCAAAGCAAAACACAACATGTAAAGTTGAAATTTCGACATTTAAATTAAAACTTTTTTGTACCAGACTTATTTTATTTGAATAATATTCATAAAACAATAAAATAAGTGGAACAATTTTTTTTAATGGATTGAATTCGATGCAAAAAGCTATTTTGTAAATTCCAAACATTTCTTCAAGGTGACAAATTCATCGCCCGTGTATATAATTTTAGCCACATTTGACGAACATTAGGTAGCAACTGTCACCATTACGGCATAAATTCTCATTATAGAATTTATATAAACTTATACCTGAATGTTAAAAAAACTACAAGACCCTGACATTGTCTTAGAGACCAAAAAATAAAAGTTTCAAAAATTGGTTACATTTTTTTCAATATTAATAATAAATTTTTCCAATATCAGAAATAATTAAAAAAATGAGCAAATCATTTATTAGCTAAAAGAATTACAATTTATTCAATTAAATTAAGCAAAAATTAAAAACTACGAGAAAAAAAATTAGAAAATCTGAAGCTTCATTGTTTAGAATTAAATTACTTTTTCTCCTTAATATTTAAAACTTGATTACATAGTTAAGTTTTAAACATATGAAAAAACTATTGAGAATTAAACAGCCAAAAGTGACAAAATGTGCCATGAATTTTTTCCCTAAAATAGCACTAATCATTCAACTACCTGCTCTAACATAAGACAGCAAAATGTCTAGGTCAGTTTTTGGTATAAAATACTAGTTTAAAATTCCATTTTTAATCTTAAATTAACTTTTTCTTTATTGGAATGTTCTATTTCCTTATTTTGAGCTATTAGATAAGAACTCAGCATACTCAGAAGTAAAGTATAAAGGAAAAAAAAAACTGACAACTAAAACTTTTTATTTCATGTCTATTGAAAATAAATTTATAAAATAATATAAAAGTTTAATAAAATGAGTTATTTGAAATAATGGAAATAATGTTAAATATATTCAGATAATAATTGCCTTTTAAAACCATTTGACATAATTACGCAATAAATCTTTCATATCTAAATCATTGGTTGATTTTAAATGTACAGTACAAAAAAAAAAAAAAAAAAAAAAAAAAAAANAAAAAAAAAAAAAAAAAAAAAAAGAGAGAGAGAGAGAGAGAGAATCACTATGAACAATTTTTAATCTAATGATTGGATTTTCAAGCACAAGGACTATTAATTATGCTTAAGGAATTATCAAGATATGGCAAAAAGCACAAAAAGATAACATCAAATTTTAGAACTGCTCTCCTGACCAAACAATTGGGACCATATTTCCCAAATTGAGAATACCTGTCTTATTTGGAAAGTAAGGAATCCAAACCTATCAGGAAAAGGGTAAGTTTACTCAGAGAGAAAGTACATTTTTGTGTCTGATTTCGTAACTTAAAATATTGTCTGCAATTAATTAACATTTTTGAGGTTACTCCCTTGAACCTTTGAATCTAAATATGTGAATACTTGATCATTTGATCAAGAGTTATTCTGTGCGATTTTTTTTTCTGCACTGTAGATTTATCATTACTGATTCATAAAAAAACTACTTACTATACCTTTTTCTATTAAATAGCATTAATACTTCACAGTTAACATATTTTTGCTTGTTTACTTAGTATATATCTTACACATCATGATGTCTAAAATACATGGCCAAACGTGGACTTTTTTCAAGACCAGAAAACAGTAAATTCAAAAATATAGAATAACTCTAATCAACCTTTCAGAATTTTTTCTATTTTTTTTAAAAATATATTTAAACTTTAATTTAATGTATTGAAATTAATTAAAACTAACTAACCAGATTCGGCAACAGCAGCAGCAACTTCATTCTGAAACAAAAATGAATAATTAAACTACAATGTGAATACAATGAATAAAAATATTAAAATCATATTTTTTTTACAACTAACAACCTAGCTTTAAAATTAGAAAGAAAAGAGTATAGATACATGAATTCTGATTTTAGAACTTTCTGATTTTAATCATTAACATGAAAAAGTTAACATAGATATATGAGATAAAAACAAATTATTTTCCAATATATATATATATTTTTCATTTATAGGGTTAATATAATTTAAATTGTTTTTACACAAATATGAAATAAGAATTTTTTTTTTTTATAACTACAAATGTGACCAAATATCAATCACATTTAGAATGCATAAAATTTTATTCTTTTCCAGCTACAATTACCTACAGCAACTATTGTATTAACTATGACCATCCAACTATCAAGTTTTAAAAGTGTGCAAATACTTAATCACAGAAGAACCATCTTTATATATAGACAATTTGAACATAAAAAAATAAATCAATACTTTTCAAAGTAAGTTAAAAAATTCCCTATAAGTATGTGCTAGAGCTTTCAGATACACAATAGGGAATAATTTTTGAAGTTTTAATAGGGAACAATTTTTAAAGTTTATGAGTTGCATTATAAAATGATTATCAAAACTTAAGTTATTTATGACACAACTTATTATGAAACTGTTTTACAGTCATACATTTTTAATACAGAATCGTTTAACACTTTTTAAACCATTCAATTTTACTTAAATTTTGAATACCGTAGGTAATAAGAAAATTTCATTAATAAAATAAACCAAATTTTTCTCATGCATGTTTTAACACTTTTAAAACAAAAATTGTTTTAAAAAATTATCAAATCCTCAATGATGGAACACAAGTACAGTCCACAAAAAAAAAAAGATATC